TTTTGTTTTTTCACCTTTTCTCTATTTTCAGGTTGTGAAATTCCTGCATTTTTCCAATGTTCTCACCATTTCTTTCTAATTTTCATTACTACAGACCTTTACCCTAATTTGTTTTATTTCTCCTTTCCTTCAGTTCTTTCCAGTACTTTTATATCAGCCTATTCTTTACTATGAGCTGTTGTTTGCCATTAAGGATGGGCTGAAGAATGGGGAAACTATTCAGAGTTAGATGCCCAGTGCCTTTACTAAGCACAAAGCCTTTTGGTTATTCTTGCTTGTTTTTTGAGAAAGGACTAAAGACACTGTAAGATATTCTTGATGGATGCAGAATTTAATTATTTAGCTAACCATGACCTTGTTTAACCCAGACAGGGAATTCCCAATTAGATAAGAGTGTCCTTCCCTTCTGCTCTCTACAGTATGGCACTGCTGTTCCATTCCTCTTGTGTCAGCGTTAAATGTAAGCAGAGGCCATCCCACTGCTGGCAGCAATCTGCTTAGTTGTGGCCTTCTCTTGTGACATCAGTATCAGGTTACCAAGTATTCCCAAAGTGCCCTGCATTATCTCCTTGCACGTGGAAGCATTTTAGGAGGCTAGCAAAAATAGCTCATGTTTTGCTTTCTTTTCACCAAAATGAAAACCTTGACTACTGGGTCAATTTAGCTAGAGCTGTCTGGAAGAGAAAATACTGAAAATTCCCATATTAAATAAACTTTCCATTGCCCAGAAGAGCAAACTAGAAAGAAAGTCTAAGCATTGCTGTAGCTTTTGCAGTATTTTCCTCATTAAAAAAATTCTGGTAAATCTCTAGATGGAAAAAAAATTCAAAACCAGTGTGAATGTAACATTTTTAACCTGTAGACCAAAGTAAAATTTCTACTGATTTTAATGAGTCTAAGATTTCATTTGCATGTAACCACTTATTTCTTCAGACCAATAAACTATTGGAAAAACATAATTTAATGCCTGAAATATTCATATGAAAATTTTGAGGACTGTCACATACAGAGTAGAAGTTTGTAAATCCAAGGGGTTTTTTTCAGAAGTACTGAACCACAGTATTTTTGTAATAAAATATCTTCCTAGGCAAATTTGATTTTTAACAGATAAAGATGTTTATACATCTCCTTAGTGACAAGTTCATCTTTATTTCTAGGTTTTTCTTATTTACTTAATGAGTTTCAAGAGAATACTCATGTTTTAAGTCAAACCTAATTAAATTATGACTTAGACAGAATTGTTGAGGAACCACTTTTACTTGCATCTTTGGTGTCTTAAATGCTGGAGATTGTGTTAATGACACATTCCTGTATTTGCTAATTTTTTATCAGATATATTTAAAGCAAAATAGAAAGCTTTCTGTTCTTTGAATCAGTTACATATAGTTGCAATAAATTCATTATTTCTGTTCAAATGGAGGTTCAAGCTCTGAATAGCAGTAGACTTCTTATATGAGGAAACCAAGAGCAGTTACTGGCTGATTAGGACAGGACTGGGAGGGGTGTCTCGCTGGTCTTAGAAAGAGGAGCTCAGAAAGCTGGGGTATCACAAGGGATCTGGAAGTGTGGGGTTCTATGTAAAGTGTATATGAGAGAAGCAACATTTAGAGGAACTGAGATATTATTATAAGTATATTCATGGAAGAGTTCATATGGAAATTGTAGAGGTAGGGGTTGTAAAAAGTCTTGAAGAGAGGGGTCAGGAACCATTCGTTTCATGAGAAGTGGTCTCCAGGGAATTAGCTTCCAGTAGTATATACACAGAAGATTGGCTGAGTTTCTGAGGAGCATCTGGAGGCATATGTCTCAGGAGAAAATAGCAGGGAGGGACACTACCAGTAGTCTCTACAAACTACCTGTTTTTTTCTATAGTTCCTTTTCCAAGATAGAAAAGTTAGCTTCTTTAATGTGTATTTACATTTGGGCTTTTTCTATATGAATAGGCTTTAGCAATCTTATTCCTTGAATTCTTTTATTCTGCCTGTAGAGATAGTTCAAACAACCTGCAGTTCAAGCACCAACACTGCACAGCTGTTAATGAGAGGGAAAATAACTCTTCCTGCAATATATAAGTAGACTTATCTGACTTCTGAGTCACCAGCTGAAAACCTCTCTTCTCAGAAGCTGGGAGCAGAAAGAAAAAGCTGCTTGGGATGTCTCATGTAGCCTAAATTATTCTAACTGGATTTGTCTTGTGGTGTGCAGGGAAATTCAGGTCTTTCCTCATCAAAGCATAAATGAATGGAAAAGCTTTCTTTCCTAGCTTTTGTTTAGGAGAAAAAGAAAGAAAAAATATTAGAAAATTTAAAATATGGTAACATATTCAAAGCTGATTACAGCTGTAAAACAGCAATTGACTTAGTCATCAGTAAATTTAGGTTTTGTATAAGCTATAAGGAATATCTGGGACACATTTTTTTCACAAGTTTCTAAGTTATGTATGCAGGATATTCATGGTATTGATGACTCCTACTACCAGGGTGTTATGGTAACTGTTGAAAAATTTATGGAAAAGGGCTTTCAGTTGTATATGTCTTACAAATGTTATATATAGATTCCTCATAAACCCTAGCCTTTGGGTGTACTGAAGAGCTTTTTGGTTGGTCTGAACAATTCTTGTTCTAGGACACTACCACTAGGGCTTACTATTTTTCTTCTTTGTATAGCTGTCCCAGCTCTTTGTTATAGCACACTGTGCTTTCTATATTACTGTGTCAGTTTCTACCTCTTTTTCAGTCTCTATAGCAACAGTTTCTCAGCAACTGGGAGATGCTTAGTAAAGGCCTCTCAATTTAGAAACACTGCACTCCAACTAAAAAAAAAAAAAGCTTTGAAACAAAGATCAAAGAAGTTTTATCTTTAATAATTCAGGATATTTATTACTAATTAATTAGTGTTCTCTGTTTTGACTGCTTAGACAATTACCTGATACTTTGATCTAGGCCTTCGCTAGGCATTTGTTGTGAGCAGCTTTAATTTAAAAGCAAAACCTTTAGAACTGTATCTTGAAGTCAACTTTTAAGTGCTGTAAAACTACTGGACTTCTCTGGCGGTATCATCTGACTTCTGAACCTTCAGTAAGTAATGACAGGAAGGTAAGCACAGCTGCTGTATTTAAGAGGAGACAATAATTTTGGCATTTGAATAAAACATAAAATGTCTTCACCCTTCACAGGAAACAAAAGTAATTGTAGGTTCTTTTATGCATATTTAAGATGTTGATCATATGTTGTCTGATTTCAAAAGAAAAGTCTCTGTGATCAAGATGATTGATCTGCTTGGAGGTTTCTGCCTTATTTCATGTGGCTCGTCTTTCTCTGTACTTTAATTATGTAGCATGCTTCAAAATGCATTTGATTTGCTAAAGTACATATTCTGAGAACCTGTAAATCAAACAAAGTACATATAAGTAATCAAGTGTTACTTTTCTTTCACATTCCACTTAAGAGTCAAGGAAAAAGCTGTCCTTGTTTTGCACATAAGAGTATTCATTTTAATGGGCCAGGACTGTTAACTGTAACAATTTATTTCCTGAATATTTGTACATAATTTTAATTTTTTTTTTGTTTTCTTAAATGTTTTTCACTATTAAAGCACAAAAGGGACTGAAATATAACACACAGGCTGAAATAGTGTATCAATGGGCAAAGTTACTTCAGATTATATGGGCAGCAGATACTGCTTCCGCTTTCACATTGTGTTCATGTGCTAACACTAAAGTAGATTCTCTTTGTTTCACCCACACAGTCAAGATCTGGACTGTCCACAGAGTTTTGTATATGCAAATGTAGACTGTACATACATTAATAATGTCTTCTGTAGCTTTTTAGAAGGAGGGTTTATAGATATGATGTTGTACAATAATGGCCAGTTTGTAAAACACAGAAACACATGGTTGACTTTGAGACTATGAATTCCCTAGTACAAGACTATAGAGTGTTTTTCCATATGGTAATTTAAATGTTAGACATTATGTTTTATGGACAGAGATCTGGTCATCTTACAGTAAGTATCAAGCACTCATAGATTATGCATGCTATATAACTCATTAAGTCAGTGGATGTGTTCTTATTGGAGTGGGCAAATTCTAATGAGTTCTAATTTAAGTGAGTTTAACCTGGATATTTTTACATTCATCCCAACCACTTTCTTTATTTTATGTACCTCTGGTACAAAGAAAATAAAGGAGGCAAGCTGTGTATTTCTAAGTCTACCTTCTAGACTGCTACATGTAGCTTTCACCAAAACACTTATGTTTAATCATTGCTCTGTGTCTTCTTCCGCTGATTTCTGTACATGAACTTTTTTGTCAAGTTATGCAGAGGCTCCTACTACTGCAGCTATTTTAGGGACAGTTGTGAAATATTTTCATATATATTGCATATGAATATATATCTGTAGGCAAACTTATGTGCCTGTATAAATTCTGGGCAGAGCTGTAGTTTTGCAGTATGTAACTCTTAGTAAGAAAGAAAATAAAATAGTGGAAAAGAAACAGAGTGGTATTTTTTTCAAAGAAGGACTACAGTGAAAACTGTGGCATTATAGTCTTAAATGAAAAAGACTATTAAAGCAAATTAAAGCAAATCTGTATCTCAGTATTTTAAGTATCTAAATTTAGGTAATGACAAATCTAGGGACTGAAACACAACGTTGCAGCTTTCACCAGTTAAAATGGTGAGGAGCATATTTATGGTAGACTCAATGATTTTAGATCATTGACTATGCTTCATAAATGGCCAGTATTCTGTCATGTTTATGAAAAATGATCAATGATTCTATCTCAAAAAATGTAAGAAGTGACCATTTGTTTAAATTCAGATTTAACACCATATTTATTATTTAAGTTTTAAATAATTTAAAACGATTTAATTTTTATTTATTTTAGCAAACTTTCCCTTTGCTCTGCACAATAAGCCATATAGGTGGCCTTTGGAACCTTGTGTGACTTAGATCCATTACACCTAGTGTTTTGCAACTGCTGTGTTACCTGAAAGATAGTTACTACAGGTAATTAATATTTTTATTTCTGTGATTGAAAATATAATGCAGTTTTAGAGCATTAGTGAAATAAATCCTGAGGGGAGGCATTCAGTTTCCATTATTACAGGGACATAACTACTTTTGCTTTCACAGTTGTTGATATAAGTAGGTTCATGGTTAAGCTTCCTTTTCCCTTTCCATATCAGCTCAATAAGAAACAATGTCAGCTCAGCCTAAAACTTTAGTTTTGCTTGAAAATTTTAGGTAATACTTTTGAGTAATTGCAATCAGTGAATCTGAGGAAGAATCTGGTGTAGATATGCCCTTTGCAACCTGAAATTATACACTATGGACCATGTAGTAATACTGCATGTAAACACTGGGCTCTTAATAGTGAAAGATCTCACTTCCTGTACTTAAAACTGTTTTGAGGATTGGTTTTGCCCTGCTACAGCTTTGCAGTTACTTGAATTACTCCTATTTTATGCTGAGCAGAGAGCTTGCCATTTGCTGGCATTTCTCTGTACGTGGCACCAAAACTATTTTGTTTAATGTAATTCTGTTTAAATTAATTTCTGAAATGCATCCAGTGAATTGTTCAGATTAAAAGATTTAATTTGAATGGTTCAATATGTCTCTGTCTAGAATATGTGGTTTTACACTTTGGTTTGTTTTGTTATAGAATGTGTAATACCATCTGTTAATTTCAAATGGATCCAGACTTGCAGGGTAAGGATTTTTCTTATTTTTTCCCAACTTTTCTCAGAAGGTATTTATGTGTCTTTTCAATCAGAAACTACTGAATTTTAATGAAATCGTGCCACTTTGAGAATCTCTGTGCTGTAGCACGTAAATGACAAATTACACAGGTGTGATGACCTACCTTTATTGTTGGATCTGTCCAGGCATCTTCCTTGTCACTATCACAGTGGGTTATGGAATGGTCAGGCACACTGGGCAATAATCCCTAATTTATAATAAATGCTAAGGTTTTTTCCATACTTTGGAATAGGCATGAAGATGGCCATACACTCCCATTCTGAGTGTAAAATCTCAGCAGACACCTCATCTGCCACAGAGCAAATACCTCAAAACGCAGAATAGCAGGTAACCACTGAAGATGTCAGGAATCAGCACACTTCTAAGTGTGTAGGAACTCCTTTGTCAGCTTCTCAACAAAGGGCATTTATATTTCTTGAGGTGAAATTTGACCCACAGCAGAATGATTACATGATGGTTTTCTGTCCAGAGGGGAAGCCCCCTTCCTATGAGAAAGGAAAGATTTTAATGTCCCTAAATAGCCTCTCATCAGTAATAATTCTAAAATGATTTGCTATTTTACTTATGTGTCCTCACAAGTTAATTCTGGAACTGTGCCTGACAGGCACAGAATGCCCTACTTTGAGGGCCACATTTTGTTTGTAAGGGTGGACTATAATTAAGTAGCAGATGGCTACTAAAACAGATTCCCTTCAATATGAAAATCATCTTGTGCATGGAAGGTGTTTGAGTTGAATCATGTGTATATTTCTAGCATTTGTATTTGAGAATAAGTATTTGGAACTTAAGCCATAGCCTAATGAAAACTGTGGGAGTTGTTCTGTTGCTTTCAAAAGGGCTTTGGATCAGTTTATTGAGGAAAGAGAACTGATGATGCGTGGAAGTCAAAACTTATTTTTCACATTGTATGATATGCTACACTGCATCTCCAAATAATATCACAAAACATAGTATGACAAGAGCAGGACTAAACAGATGGTATAGCAGTTATTGGCATCTTTCTATAGCTTAGGCAGCATCTGGGAACCAGAAGAGCCCATAATTTTCTGACTATTAATATTAATCTGGTGTATTTCTTGGAAACCATTGCACACAGATTGGCTTCTTTCCAGACTGAACAGGTGAATTGTTTTGTGAGTTATTTCTACTAATTTATGCATATTTATTGCTTATCTTTAAACTTAATCAACTATGTATAACCGTCTCTGAAGTGCAGGGAGAAAATAGTCTCTGAGGACAGAAGTATAACTGATAAATCCCTTTCTAGTTTCTGAAGTTTAGTGAACAAGCCTTGGTTTTTGGTGTTGAAGTTCTAGGTATATGTAATGTATTGGGTATAGATCACAGTCAGCATCTCTTACTTTCCACTCAGAAAAACATCCTTTATTGATGTGAAAGAAATAAGCTGAAATCATTTAAGGGTATGAGATTTGAGATTTAGTAAAGCAGATTGAGTGGGTTTTCTAAACAGAGATGTCAAAAATAATTTGCTCTGGTAAAGGGCTTGTCTTCTTCTGCAAGAGTCCCACATGTTGATCTTGACAGATTTGTTTGGTGCTTGAAATAAATGGCATCCAAAATAATAACCCTGCTGTGCAAACTGACAAACTATCCCTTGAAGAAGAGCATCTCTGATAAAAAAACTTGTTTGCATGAAGAAATATTATTTCATTATGATCTTGGCTAAAAGTTTGTACAATGCATAACCCTAATAGGCCTTGTTCTAATATATGAATAAACTTGATTCCCAAAAAAAAGATGTGCTCTCTATGTTAAATTCTGATTTTACAAGAGATCATGTTGTTGTTTACAAGAAGACTGTTCACCCCACAAAGTTATTTAGATAAAAAAGAAAATGTTATCTTTTTGTTTGTTTTTTTTACCCAAAATTTTCTTTCAGAGTGTTGATCAACTCGAAACTCCAAATTTGGTTGATTTTTAGTTAGTTTTGAATGAACCACTCTATTGTAACGTGTGTTTGTTTTCTTTCACAGAGGCCTTCAGTGATGTTGAGAGCTCCGTATACCGAACAGCCCTAAAACTACGCTCAGTACAAAGGCTTTGCCAGTGTTAGTAGCCAAAGAGAATCCTATACTTTTACAGGGAGGAGAGTCTGTATAAAGTCTGCATTGCTGTCACCATGAGTTATTATGCTACTTTGCTCTCTCATTTTCCACCTTGGAGTTTCAGAATGGATTATGAACACTTAAGATCTAGATAGTGCTTCATATACTAATTGATTTTTTTTCCTTTTGAATGTCAATGGAAATACATTAGTGAAATTCTAAAATTATTACAGAATCAAATTATTTTTACAGTCTGCAACACTGCTATGTAGACATCACTGACAATTATTGATACTTTTCTATGTATTATGCTCATGAAAAGTCAAATTCTAATGTGTTTCTTAGGAGCTGATTTATTGGAAATAATCATGGCTTATTGAAAATGCATTGACTGGACTATAAGAATTAATGAGAGCAAAATAGAATATGATAAACCAGAAAACTCCTGGTTAGTATTCATTCTCCTTGTCTTTGAAGTGAGGGAGAAATCAGTGCCAGCAGAGAGTTATGCAACAAAGTCCTGGTCACCTAGCTCACTTTGAAATTACTGGATGTAAATTCCATATTGAGCTAAATTTCATGGAAATCTTGAATTTTCTATTTGAAATGATCTGTTGCTAAGAATGCACAGTATTGCCAGTGAGGTCTTCAGGGTAGGACAGAGAAAGTGACTAGTTTGTTGACCTTGGACATATTTCTTTCATTTGGGGATGCTCTTCTATGAATATATTTAGTCTGGTCTCAGCCCTGATATGGTTTATCTGCCTGATGCTATGTGTCAATGTGGAAGTACCACAGGTACTAGTTTTCTTTTTATGTGGTGTACTGTTTTAGGTTTCATTTTACAGACATGTCTTAGCTAAGCATTTCTGATAAAAAATAGTCATGCTTCCATTCATGAAAAGGCAGAGATCCTTATTAATTTCTTCCTTAATTTTCTCACAGTGGATTTGATTGATGTTTCTCTGATTCAGCACATCCTATCAAGTGAACAAAGGCAGAGACAAGAGCAGATTTCTCTGAACATGCAGCAAATCTCTAGAATGCTGATGAAACTGTTCCAAAGGGCAAGATTAGAAAAACCAGGCCAGGTAGATCCAAGAGCTGCTGAATTCACATTGGGCCTACTGATTGCCATGTATGACAGGTGAGAAAAAGAAATGTTGATCCATTGTGAAGTACCATAGAGTCAAAGAATTTGTTTTTGGACAGGACCTTAAAGATCATATAGCTCCCACCCAACCACTCTAACACCATTTCTGTGTGAAACTCTCCCATTTTGATTGGTTTTGCTTTGTATAAAAACTAGGAGTAGTTCAGCTGTGGGAATATAAGGCACAAAACTGCATCAGAAACACAGTGCTCAAGTGTTCCCAAAACTATTTGGAAACCCAGACTTTTGCCAGTCCGTGCTGACTTTTTCTCTGAAAAGCTTTACAGAGTAGGTCTTCTTCTAACTTCTGAGATATTTTGATACACTTCTAAAAATGAATCCATATTTGCCTCTGGAGAATAGTACCCATGCACAGGTCAGGAATTTGCCAGTCACTTTTTGTTACTCATTTTCCTCAAGCTTAAAAAGTTCATCTACCAATTATGAAGCAAAATTGATGAGCAGATGAGCAGCTTTGTGAATAGCAAAGTTTCTGAAAATAATAAGGAAACACCTTGCAGAGTGTATTTTTCTTATATATTATTTGTAAATAATGAGTTTATTCACTAAAGGCAGGATTGGTTTGTGATTGTATCAGATTTAAAAGACAAAGACTAAGTTCATTGTACAAGTTATTTGCCACGGGTGAAATTTTTCCCTTCTATATCATAGCAAAGTTTTTACTGAAAGCAAATGAGATGTAAGTGGTCTGCAGGACTATTTCTCGAATCATTATTCATTACTCATATGATCACTACTGCTTAAGGTCCCACTTTATAATATGTTTTTGGTAAAAAATCAGTTAAGGCTTAGAATAAATTCTGTATTAAGAAACAAAGCTAGCAACATCAAGAGTATCTTGTAATTTTTGGGTGCTGTAGGGAAATTATTTAGAAGAATCTTCTTAACAGTACTATCTTAGTCTTTTAGTCTTTTTTCTTAGGACTGAGTTAGGAGTGTAATTTTCTTTTTGATGCTATTTCTTTTTTAAAAAGAATTTCACAAGTTTCTTGACATGTATATAAGCTAGAAAAAGCTTTGTATAATTTTCTAATAGTATTTTCTCTGTAGAAGGCTATTCTCTACTATTAACACTAGGAGCACATAAGAATTTTCTATGGTTCTGTGGTATTTACTTAATAAATTTGCATAAACATCTGAAGGGTGTTTGACTGTGCACTTTAGCTTTAGTCTTGGAGTTTTTTCTTTGAATTTCTGGAAAAGCGACATTTTCCCATGCAGCTCATACTTTAGAGAATATATTGCAGCATTACACAGTGTGGGTTTATCTAAAGACTCTTGGAGAAAATTCTATGTAATGATATTTTGAAGCTTTGCAAAAGTAATATCTTAAATATTAATATATTAATATTAATATTAATATTCTGGGATTCCCTGATTTGTGGTTTCTGATTAATGTCTGTATTGTCTTCACAAAAAAAAAAAAAAATTGGTGCTTTCCATTAGGTGCCTATGTCACAAAATTGGGTTCTACATTAATCTATATTATTTATTATCTAACGGTCAAAACTAAATGTCCTGCTCCTGCATATATCCTTTTGTTTAAATTGAGTTTCAGTGAAATTAAGTGTAATCAGCCCAAGAGAAGCTTAGTGCAGATCTGGGGCCACAGTGGAGTCATGCAAAATGTAGATTGTATCCTTTATTCACTAATGTATTTGGGAAGGCTTTCCATGATTAAAAGAGCAGAATTTTTAGGACATTTTTACATTGTAAATGTAAAATGACATTTTACTTGGAATGTGAAGTCTCTGAAGGAGATGTTTTCTTTTTGTTTTATGATTGCATGGTATCTTGGAACAGTTAATTCTGCAGATATGTTCAGTGACAAAGGGTTCTAGACATAAAATATCACTGAAATATTACTTTGGTTGCATTTATACTTAAAAAAGAATATTTGTTTTGAAGTTTTCTTCCTACATAGTAGTATTCTGTTCTTTAGATGTTTCAGTCTTTGTATTCTCAGTGAATATAGTGTAACTTATTTAATTTTCCTAGATCTGGAACAGGGTATGTCAAAACTAGATCTGCTGCAGCTGCCCTAATTTCCCTTTCAGGAGATACTCTACTGGCTAAATACAGAGGTGGGAAATGTATGATTTTTATACACTACCTGAAATACTGAATATTGGGGAAAATCTCCATTGTAATTTTTTTTTTTTGAAATAAAAGTCAGCTCTGCCATGAAAAAAGTAAATGATGTTGACTGCTTAGTTGTAGACAAAGGCTGATGCAGAATAATCCTTTCCAACCAGTATCTGTAGCCATCTTTGCAATAGAGACCTTCAGAATAGGTTATAGTGACATTTAAGTAGAGCTTCTATTTGCCTAGCAGAAAAGAACAGAAACCCCATAGTTTTAAATTAGCAATTCACAATTTAAATAGAGCACTTCTTGTCTAAACATATTTAAATATTTTCCCAATGTTCTAATAATGAGTTAATTGCTTTCTTCCTTGCTTTCCTTCTCTTTCCCTCGCTATAGGGAGATCTATGGTCACAGCAGTCACTGAGAGCCTGTTAGGTACATAATATAGTGAAACTTTCTGGAGGGATTTATTTGTTAGACTGCAATTACCATAGCAGTTTAAAGATAGCTTGAAGACAGTTCAGGCTCTGCTAAGATTCCAGATTTTTTTTCCTTGTTTTCAGCTTTTTTCCAGTTTTATGCTGTCCATGATGGGAAGGAGACATTAATCACCTGTAGTGCCCTGAGAAGCCTTCTAACAGATTTAAATCAGGTAATGTCAGTGCAGTGCTGTTACTCAACAGATTTTGTAGGATTGTACTAACCTAGCACAAGAAAAACCTTCATGGTTGATACCTTTTATGTTTGATTACCTTATGGGACTAAAGTTAATAGGACGCTGTGGACGTAGGGAACTATCATGCAAAATAGGTAAAAGAATCAAATTCTGTCCTTTCACTCAAAATAACCACTTTCATTAGTGACTGCCTCTGTGTATTCATGTTGCCTGAGCTTATAGGTCCCGGAAACAGCTGGATACAACTGCTCCTAAAGCAGATGTCTATACTCAATAGAATAGGTTGCAGTTGGAGCATGTTGCCTTAACACACAGGTATTTCCAGCTGAACTGGTGCTGAAAATGGGATTTGAAAATGACCTCTGGGATTTAAACTCAGTGTTCTTCAGTAGTATATTGTGGAAATATAGTATGTTTATCCATTACAGTAAGTGAGTAGGAAACAAATCATTCACCCTGAACTGTGAAACTGCATACTGATGGCATGAATATGAATGGGCTTTCTTCAGAATAGTGTTTAAAATGGCATTGCTATAGATACTTCACCATCTGTGTGCTGTCACCATTGCAGCAGAGCATGATGGGAACATCTGTTTTTTATTGAGGTGTTTCTGAGCCTTTTTCTTGATGTAGATCCCAGGCATTGTGGGAGAAGGCTGCACTCTGTCTTGTGTGGAAATTGCGATTCATGACTGTTTCCATGGGGTGAGTGAAATTCTGATGTCCTGGGAAATTATTCTGAATGTTGCAGTTTGATTAAAACTTCAAGTGTATTACCACATAACATCCCCAAGTATCTACTTTTAAGAAGCAGAGCTGATCATCAGTCTCACAGTATGAGAGGATTTGTATCTATAGAAAAAATGCTCAGTAAGGTACTACTGAGGATTCCCACGTTTATTCCAAAACCTTTGGAACCCAGTAACATTTTACATGGATGGAAAACTTATGCTAGCAAAATCCAGTATCAGAGCTTTTATTAGAGATTGTAGATAAACCACCAGTTTTTTTCAAGTGAATGTATGAGCTTGAGACATGTATTTTTTCTAGGTTCTGAATGCAGCTATTGTTGAAGAAAAATTCCTGTCTTGGCTGAGATCAGAGCCTGCTGTTCTCCTGTGGCTCCCTACATGTTACAGATTATCAGCCATGGAAATGGTTTCTCACCAAGCTAGATGCAGAGTCTGCAAAGTTTTCCCCATTACAGGCATCAGGTGTGTCAGTGGTCTTTAGCATCCACCCAGTTAGTTCTTACCACTGTTTGCATACCTTACAGGCTGTAACTGATGTACTAAGTAACAAGCTTTGGATGTAATCTAATTTAGCCAGGAAAAGAGGGATAGAGAGAACCACTGCAGTCCATTGCTCAAGCCTTCATCCTACTTCTCTTTAGCTCACTAGCACAAACATGAAAACTTGCCAAAGGTAAACTGGCAGTTCAAAGTCAAAGTCAATTAAACCCGTGTATCTCATTTCTTAGTTATTTTTCCTGTAACCAGTTGTATTAACTGGCTTGTTAATTTTCCATCTTAGCATCTTAGTCATCTAAGTAATGTTATAAAATGGCATAGTGGTATAAAAAGAACACTATGCATTACCATTGGACCAGAAAGCTCAAAAAAGCATTTTACTGTTACTATATTCTCACTAATTGTAAGTTTATAGATTTAGTTTCTTGCATTTTTAGTTTTTTTGTTTATGCTTCCTATGTCAATATTACAGTTCCATGGAAGCAACAAATAGAGGTAAGCTGGTGTATAAGAAGCACATGAAATTGTAACTGCATTCTGAAAAATGGGAAATGGTGCTAAAACAATGTTTTCTTCCGTGGACTGCATTTCAAAGCAGCAAATAAATAAGATCAAGGGTTTGGAGAAAAGTCCTTAATCAATTGGGCAAAATAACTTGAATTCAGAGAATGCTGAGAAAAGTGATTGTTCTAATGATGATGTTTCTTTGAATTTCAGAGCCCAGGGATCTGGGTTTCCAGTAATTAAGCTTACTTACACCAAGTTCTTACTTGTGGGGAAGTAAAGAAATCTTTTTGTTTTCCCTCACAGGTATCGCTGTTTAAAGTGCCTCAATTTTGACCTTTGCCAAGCCTGCTTTTTCACTGGTCGTCTCTGCAAACCACATAAGAGATCACATCCTGTTGTGGAACACAGTGTGCAGGTAGAGTCCTATTGTACTGATTCGTTTCCCTGTTGAGGTTCTTCATGGAGGCAAGTAGGCAGTAGATTCTTAAACTACAAGCATTATAAAGTTATGTGTGTATTAATCATAATGGCCATGACATATCAGCATTATTAGTCTGGGAACAGGGAGACAGGAAAAGGACCAAAGCAGGCTTCTAACTTTAGAATTAGTGTTTTGTTTTGAAGTAACTGAATAGAGCTATGAAATATCCCAGTGCAAGTCTTCTTAAGGAGTTTTATGGCAAATTTTCTGTTGGCAGACAATCCTTAAACCTGCGAAAAGTCCCCTCAATGTCCCAATGTTCCTTCATCCCAATCAGAATGCAGCCTCATCCTGAAATTCATTAATCCTAAAGTTATACAAACTCCTGCATGAAATGTCTTTCTCTCTTTTCTGAATGTCTTCAGTTTTTCCACTTTATTGTAAACCTTTCTGACTCATTTGTCTCTGTCAGTTAGGGATACAGCACAAAGAGGCAACATGTGCCCAACTAAGATCACATACCTGGACTCTGTTAGAGGGCAACATGTGCTATCATCACACTAGTGGCAAAATACAACACTGGGAATTGGTATTTGGAAGACCAGCTTCTCCTTTGAGCAGGAGATTCCAGATCTTGCACACAGTAGCAGATGGGCTTTTTGTGGATCTGTATAACAGTATCCTTCTGTTCCAGTAAATCTGCTGAAAAGCACTTAGGAAAGTTTCCTTAGAAACCTGTACTTCCTGGTCTCCTTCCCAATCCTCTGCACTTAATGTGAAAGATACCTGGGCAGCCAGTGTCTGCACTAAAACTAAAGACTCTTAGACTGCTCTTGTAGTCACCCTTTAAGAGCATTAAACTCTTGCCATTTCATTGCTGTCTTCCTGAAAAGAAAATCATACTGCTAACATTGTGAGAAATTGTATCTGGATGCTCAATATCTGCATTGAAAATAACAGTTCAGTCCTCTAAATATTCTTTCTCCTACTCCATCTGTGACAAAGTAGGAAAATCAAATGTTAACTAAACTCTTCATTAAGAGATTTCTAAGTAGAGACCTTAAAATTAGTGTGAATGGAGAGTGAATGGGAATGTGTGTTTGTAGAAGCACCAAAAGGAAGGACAACAGCAAAACCAAGGCAAGAGATGTTGCAGCCTGGATTGCACCCACATTGTTGCTGCAGAATTGCAACTGAATCATTTGACTTAGCTTTCCTTTATGAAACCTTACTCTAACACAAACTCTGTAAATATTACTTTGTAGGCCAAATATTACAATACAGGCCAAAATCTATACCAAAATTTAAAAGATAAGCTACTCACTATGACAGATACCATTTTTGTATCTGTTGTGTGGGACATAAAATAATCAATAGTAAGTTGCTATCCCCATACCTTCCACTCTTAGCAGATGCTGTCCTTGTCTGGGTAAGTATTCACACTGTCTTTATTAGGGATTGAGCTGTTGAGTGGGGGTTTGAAATATCAGCAGTTTTTCCTTACCGTGCTGACACCTTGTGGTAACATTACTACCATGTTGAGAAGCACTAGGAGACTTGTGTTTTCCTGTTTTCCTGTTCAGTCTGCCCATGTTCTGCAGCAGTCACCTAGGGCAGAATTGATTGGTGTCCTCCAATAATACAGCTACTGAGCTTAGTTGTTGTACATGAGCCTGACACTCCTGTGATAATGGATGTGTATTTTACTGTATTCTGTGAGAGGAGGATGTGAGGCATGGAAGACTTATATCTACAAATGCTTTATACAAATATAAAAGTATTTCTTCCTTAGATACTAGTCAGCAGAATTATTGTTGTGACTGTGAGCTTAATCATTGGAACTGCCAAAATCTTGTGTTTAGGCATTTCCAGGCTTCCTGACTTTGATCCAGTCAGTATTTTGCCTAAAAAGAATTGAAGCTGCTCTTGCCTGTGTTCCTGCAGCATTACCCACTTGGGCTCCCCTTCTAGGGCTCAGATAGCAGCCATGAGCCTCATCAGATGATAAGCAGATGGACCTTTCCTTTGGAATATGTCTGTTTCTGGGCAGTACCTGCTTGAAAAGTCACTCTCTTTATTATCCCTTGTTCCAATAGATGTCAGCAAAGGCGAACGCAAAGCACTTTCTCCGCACCATCAGGAACAACCTGTTTCAAGAGCACTGCAGAAGAAAAGAGGCTCAGAGAAGGACAGCTCTGGAGTCAGTGGAGGAGAGGCACTTCCCTGCTCACAAAAAGACTTTGTGAGTTTCAGTGTCAGATGAATTTATAATCTCTGAATGTCAGGCTGTGGAATATCATTTGATTATGTCCTTTGAGTAAGGGATTTTGTTATGACAGATGCCATGATTTTTCTATTAAAAAGGGAAAGAATAACTGAGAAGTTGCTGCACATTGTTCTGTAGCTTAACTATGGTTACCATGCTGACAACCTAATGATCAGTTGTCTTATAAAATACAACAGGATTGTGTTTTGCTTCCCTCCTTCCTTATGTTGTATTTTTCACTCTGTTCTATTTCTTATACTCAGTCTAGGGCTAAGCATTGCATATATTTACTACCTTTACAACTGAATGGGTTCTTAAGCACCTCCTCTGTGACAAATCTATTGGAAATTAACTGTGACTACTTTCCACATGTGACCCACAGTACATTCACTGGCAGGGATTCTACTCAAGTCCCACTAAATTGCAGATCTGTGGAATCACTCACAATAGCAAGTAGATGATCTCACCATTCCTTTTCTTTCTGACCAGTTGTTCTGTGTGCTTTGGTTAATATTTAAAGTCATTACTGTATTTCCACTCATCACAGTAGTTGATAATGAGCATTGGAGGTAATGTTTGTCTGTCTATTTATACTGCATTAGTTTTTTTGCATTTGGATCTTCCTGGGTAGAAAAAACATGTGAGTCCTGATCCTTTCCCTACTCATTACTTCTCTGTTGGTATATAGTTCTCCTGTGGAATTCAGTGCTTCATCACGACCTGGTCCTGAAAATGTGTCTTTCCAAGTGGACAATTGTGTCCCAGAATCATCCAGATTCATACCTGAAAACAGAACTGTAATGCAGAAGAGTGAGAATAACAACAAGACACCAGAGCAAGGCAAGACAATAGCTCAGGTGAGCAAAACACAAAACAGTAATAGTGCTAAAGCTGTGAAGAAGATCTAGCAAGTTAATTATCTGCTCGCCTTCTAATTACAATGAAAATGTAATGGGCAGCTTCACCTTTCTGTTAATTCCTCACTTATGGTGAAAACTGTGGAATCTGAAAACTTAGTGAAGTTTGAATTTGTTATCTTCCCAAGATTAGTGACTAACTCCTTCAACTTTCATGACCTTCAGAAGCACCTGTAAGAATATTTGCTTTGGGGTTTTTTGAGATGTCATAGAGTAGCATGCTAAAGTCTAAATGAGTCTGGAGTCCTCTTGCTATTCTGACAGTAAAAAAAGCCATCATGTCTTCCTACTGCAAGCAAATGTCGAAGAAGAATGCCTGAGTTCTTATTAGACTCAGGCCATTTTTGTTACCATGGAAATAGCAAGAGGACAGAGTGGGCCCTCTTAGGATAAACCCAGAGCAGTGTCCACTCCAACTAAAATAGCTAATGCACAAAAGGTCTCTATTAATCCATTCCTAACTTGCCTCCAAAGAAACAAAGGAGTGGGTAGGACAGTGTAGCTAAAAAAAAGTACATAGCAGTTTTCTGTTTCTATACTTTTTGAGAGATTAGTAGCTCTGCAGTTACTTAGAATACAGGGAACACTGGGTTGTGTTCAAGCCAGTTTCTGTCATCCACTCATCCACTCATCTTGTTCTTCCCAGGAGCCAAGGGGTGCAGTAACACAATACTAGCCTCTGTGTATCAGGTATCAGGTATCCTTTGGCTGCTACTCCTGTGCTGCCCTTTGGAAGACCTGTCTTTTAGAACTCTGTTGCCCAGCTCAAGGTTCAGTGCCAGCCAGCAGATATCTGCAGGAGATGTTGTGGGCAGACATTGCTTAAATATAGAATTTTGACAGTTGGCATTTGTCATTTTAGAAAACAGCAGGACAGGACTAGCATCCCTGTGCTGGGATTCTGTCAGGTGCATTGCTCTCTTGTTTATTTTATATCTGGGCTGAGAGTTCCTTTTGAGCAGTTTTATATTCATTTCTAAGATCTTACAGTGCAGATTATTTCCACTTTGATTGAAGAGACATGGACAGTAAGTCCAATGATTGCTTTTAATAGAATCTGCGAATACAGAGGTCCTGAGTGATCCAGCTCTTAGTCTCATAATTTCCTGGCAGCTCTGATTCCTGCCCAACTTATATCATGCCTCAAAAGTAGCTTAGGTGGTGTTTGTCTACTTGACTTCTGGGCTACTGTTCTCTGCATGGTCCAGAGAATTTAAAGACCAGGAGTTTCTCTTCTCTCTTCTACATACAGTCTCTCTCTCCATCTCCTTGTCTCAAAGCAGTTGTGGGACTTGAGAGAGATTGTTCCCAAATCAGAATATTCCATTTTGCAGAAATTCTTGGGAATATGGATTTTGTTTTAACTTTGAACAAATTCTTATACACTTAAATTTGTCATAGAACAAAGAATTTGTTTTATAGAATAAATTTCCCAGCCATTAGAAATACTTTAATGCATCAGTTCATTGTAATATATTAAATTAACAAGGTTAACCAGTAATTCTGTAGATTCACCAGATCCAAAACTTTTCATACACTCCTATAATAAAACTTGCATATAAAAATGAAATGCTATTGCTGATAAAGTTATGAACAGATACTTCTTTTTTTTGTAGGCAATAGCCTCTTTTGAAGCAGATGTATTGAAAATGCATGAATCCATTAAAAGCATTCACAGTGACAGCAGGTAGGTAAATGCAGTAGTAAACTCACTGAAGACTGGTGGGCAGTGCTCCTCCAGCTGGAGGGCTAGAAGACAGATGATTTTTCCATACTTTGGATATTTTTAGATTTTAAAAAAATCCTATCAAATGAGGATGAATAATAAAAACTCAGCAACAAAAATTTTAGATTAAGATCACTGGAAAAACAATGGCAAAGCAAACCACTGTGGTTTGCTTTCATCAGCATTTCTGCAATTGCTAGTTCATATTTCTAAAATGAATTTTTAGAAAAAAAAGATGTTCATCCAGATAAAAATGTCAGAATAGCACACTTTTTCAAATTTTTCTCTCAATAAGGCCTAATCAAAACAAATTTCATAATTTGCATGAAGCTTTTAAATCAAAGTACAATTTATTTCTAAAAAATTGCTGTACATCAAATAGAGATTAATAGGATGAATACAGTAACTATTGGTATAATAGTTTATCACAGAAGTTCCTCCTGATAGTCAAATAATTGACACTGTAAAATATTAATTCCGTAATTAAAAATCTCTTGGGAGGCTTGTTTGCTTGGGAGACATGGCAGGAGGGAAGTTGGTGTGTGAGCTACAATGCTTACCTTTTACTTGGATTTTTGCCTTCCCCCCTTTTTTATAGTTGTATATAAATGTGCTCTATATAACCATGCCTATGACCACTGAAAATGATGGAATTACGGTGAAGTGTAGAATTCGATCCTGAATCTACTCCCTTTATTTCTTTCAGCATGTTCAATTCCCTCTGTTCCTGTTCTGTTTCATTCCAAGAGCAATTGCTGCTCCAAGTTCACAAAAGGGCACTCCAAGATTAGAGCTAAACAATTTCAGTTTCATTGTGGGTCTGTTCTCACTTGGGAAAATAAAGAGATATGACAAAGATCTTCAGCTTTCTTTTAGATTAGCAATCGTTGAGAGGATATATGGGATGCCTGCTCCTATAATGCTGCTCTGACCCAGAGCTTATCATAGAACTGGGTGAATGAATCACATTACTCATGGGAAGCTCTTTATTCTTGTTTAGGACTGACTTCCAGCATTCACCGTCTATTCTCAGAACTGGACACTGAGTTAGTTGAAGGAGGACAGAATTTTAAGGAGCCCTTAAATATAAGGGAGGGATCACTGTAATATTAATTTTAATTTTAAATGGTTTGACTTGCTGTCCTATTCAGACAAATCTTGCATAGTTCAAGTGGGGTGTTGTCTCTAAGCCAAAGCATTACCACAAGAAAGTGGATCAAGTGTACTTCTGTATGTAACTAAGCATGGTAGATAACTATTTCAGATCTGTGATATGAAGGAGTCAGTTTATTACTGTAGTGTTAATAAACTCTCCTGTCTGCACCTCAGCTGTGAGGAAAGCAAAACTATTTCTACCCTGACTTCTTAGAGAAATCACAACTAGAATAGAATTATGGGTGGTATTTCTGGCATACTGTGCTCTGAGTAGGTAATTTCTAAATCTCTGTTGTACACGGGAGGGTGGCACTTATGATTGCAGAAATCAGAGTGTTTTTTCAAGGACAATTGGTCAGTGCAGAAGCTATTGGTATCATTGAAGAAACTGCAGAGAATACCATGAGCAAGAAGAAATTCTATCAAGGAGGCAGAACCTGCTTTTACTTCATTGTTGCCCAGGCATGTAATGGGAATGTTTTGCAGGTCAGGGAGTTGCTATAAGTAGTTTGCTTTTATACAGAGGGACTGCTATTGTCTCTTATGTTGCAGCCACCTTTGTGGGAAAGGTAAAACCCCATGATGCAAGGTTCACTCCTGGCCACAGTTCTATTTAGCTCTCATATTTCCTCGCCTGGAATACTCATGTTCTTGCTAATTCCATGGGTACAGCCCAGCTCCAGAAAATGGGCCTCTAACCCTGAAGCTGAAAAAATTTCCAGAACTAGTAAAGGGGATAAAGTTTGTGCTAAAGTGATTGCTCATTTTCATGAATGTATATATTTGTGTATGTCTGGTCTAGCAAAAATCCCACCCTCCTGTATCTCTGGTAGGTACATGAAGAAGCAGTTCAACAAATGGAAGGACAAAATGCAATTTCTTCATAACTGCCAGGAAGAAAAAAGCTGCAAAATAGAGGCAAAACTCCAAAGACTGAGAGTAAGCCATGAAAACCTACAAATGATGCTGCAGCACATGAAGGAAGAAGTAAAGGTATAGTGATATATGTATCAAGAATTGTCACAGCTATGAACCATTACTGAACACTAACAATTGCTTTTCTTGTACACCAGCACTTTTAATACAATTTCATGCACTTCCACTTGTATTTTCAGTCATCTTAATTTTTTCTCTTTAGAGAAAGCAGATAAGGTCTTTGCAGTAGGGATTTTCTTGTCATTCTGTTCATATCTGGCATCTAGCACAGATATCCACGTCAGCACATTTAAATACTACAGCAATGAAAATAATGAATATTCCAATAAGAGTTTCCAACATACTTCACTGCAGTCTCTTCTTCAGAGAAGAGTCAAAGTGAATAAATGTCATTCCTAATTGCTGCCTTTTACTGGGATGTAATACAGACATCTTATAGGAAATATTTTATTTGTTTTCAATAATAGTGATTCTTATCATTACAATTATTTCTGAGATTCTTAAAAAGCCCTTGTTTCACAGAAAATGTTTACATATTTTCCCCCTACAGCTTTTTAATAGTATTTTCTGCAATACTGTTTTAGTACTACTGGCAAACTGAAACCTTATTTTTACAATGTATTTTCTTTGTTTTGTCTATTGTAGACCATGTTGCAGTCATCAGAGTGTCCTTTTGCACAGTGTCATAATACAATGCCAAGAAATTCACATGTTCTGCTGGAAAGGAGAATGCAGAGTGAATTAAATCCTGCCCAAATAAGGCCTACTTCCAAAACATGTGCAGAATGGAAATCTTTGAATCCCCCAAACTCTTTAAATAGAATGCAGCTTTTACAGACACCTGAGGTTCCCACTGCAGTGGAATTAATGTTTTCAGATGACCCACTGGAGTCAGTGTCTCTGCAGAGTGACAAACCCTTTATGGGACAGCATAAACAAGCAAAAGAGAAACAAACATATCTGCCTAAACTGACAGAAAACTCTCTTGGTGGAATGGGGAATACAATTCTTATTCCCACTGCAATGCAGGTACCACCTGATGAGAAGCAAGTGAGAGAGGAATTGGAACTGCTAATGATGAAACTGAACGATACATTGTCTCTCCAAACCCAACCAGGTATAAGTTCTCCAGTCATCTTGTCACTGTCTTCTTACCTTCATCCTGTTTATTCCATAATATTGTTCATAATCATGTAACCCTTAGAGGAAACTCAGAATCTTGCTTTAGCTTTTGTAGTATTATTCTATATAGTAAGGTAGAGCATATTCCAAAGATAGCCCCTAATGTTGGACTGATTTGGAACTGGATGAGTCAAAGCTCCTAAGAGATAATGAGTCTTGGCAGTCAATTAAAGAGCAAATTTAAACTGGTGAGGGTATGAGAGGTTTTTGCTCTTGCCACTTCTGTGACACTGTAACTATAACTCTAGTCCTAAGAGACTTCCAGCAGTACAAAATCCCTTTGTGATCAAAGCAGAGCTTTGTTCAACATTCAGGATGCCTCACTTTTGATAATGAGGATGTAATATGGAATATGACAGAAAAAGCTGGTGCTTCTACAGAGCTATCTTAGAGATTCATTAAGAGTTTTCTAGTGCTCTGGCAGCATCCAAAAGCTTGGAAAGACTTAAAATTTATTCTACTTTTCAGCCCAACAAACTACTTTGCACCAGGAGTTCTTCTCTACAGCTGAGCAAGTTTGCAGGTCCTTTTCTGACCTCATCAACGAAATAATTTCACCAGCTTGTAAATGATGGAAACTATCATTCACCTTACAACTTCACTGAACTACTTAAGGTAATTGATGCCATGTCTCTTAAAAGAGACTCTTTAAAGTGTCTCAGAGGTTGCCTGTAATAACACAGCATGACAGATTTCTGCATTTACTGACTTCACCTGGAACATTCTGGAGCGCTATATTCCTTTTCTGTTGATGATTTCCAGCTCCCATGCTGTGACTTCCTCAGCAGTGCAAACGATTGCCCATTTCTCTCTCTTTAGCTGTTAATTTCCCATGGCCAAGTTGCTTCTTTGGAATGGTGCTGTATTTCTTGTTGATGCCAGCAACAAGGAAAATGCTTTTTCCTGTAATGTATAGAATTATTTTAAAGACCTGAGAAATTGAAATTATTCAGTACCACTTCAGAGAGAAAAAAAACATACAGTCAGTTATTTACTATCATTCTTTGGCAGGAGGTGCATAAAAATAGTAAATAACTGTTTGTATGTGCTCAAAACCAGTTATGGTTCAAGAAAATTTGCAGAATTTTAAGGATTTCAGTTATGTCACTAATAATATCAGCTTTCCAAGAAAAAAAATAGTCTGAGTTTTTACAAGATTTTTTTCTGTGCTTACAAAGAAAATTCATTTGCATGAAAACAAAATATTTTTGAAAGTTCTGGGAGAAAAGTTAAATTTTCTGAAGCTCTGTTTCATATCTAATCAAACAGTGTTTAGGCTGATGTGATTGAAAAGGCTAATAAAAAGCATACGGCTTAAAATAAGCTGCTTAGCAAAACTCCACACAGATTTTCCACACAGATTTTCCTTGTGTTGTATTTTTCAGAATGAGTTATAGTCACTAAGATAAAGGGAACTGCCTGACTCATTAAAGAGGCTAGAAATCTTATTTTCCATTTGTAGCACCTCAGCCATCTTCTTGAAAGACCTTTCACTGTAGTATTGAGATTAATGAACATTCCTCATTCTTTCTGCTAGTTTTGGTCAAAGGGGGCCCGAATTACACATACTGCAAACACTCAAGAATTTACAGCAAGAAATAATGGTAAGCTACTGGAAGCTAACAAGTGGTTTGTCTCTAGCAAAGGAAGAGTAAAGAGGGTGAAAATTAAAAAAAAAAGAAACTTATTGAGGGAGGAAGGAGAGTCCCAGAGAACAAATAGTAAAAAAGGTAATTAGAAGGTGGATATACCCATATCACAACATAAATAAATACACTGTGAGACAAAAGCTTAGTAGTAAGCTTTTGCAATAAGCCAGTGCCAAGAGACACACACAACAATCCAAGGAACCTACTTGTTGATTATGGGAAGATACCCATCAGCTTCTGATGAGACTTTCAATCTCCTTCGAGTGTGGGCATCTGAATTAAACTTGTCTGGAAACAGTAATAACTGACAAATGCTAGTTTGGTCTAAAACAACATTCAACAGAACTGGAACACAAATTCTTACACATAGATATTCCTGAATTACCATGGATTGTTTTTTCATGTCATTATGTAAAGGTTAAAGATTTGTTTTTCATGCTAAGAAGCAGTTGTCTAGCTCACTGATCCCTGTAAGATGAAATGGACTAAATCACAAGGTCTTTATTTTGTTGTTATTCAGTTTAGCTGACAGTGAGGGAATTTCAGTCAGACATGTTCATCCAATCCTTCTTCTGACACACTCTGACTGAGAGACAGTAAGCCAGGACTAACAATCCTATTCACACAAAAATCTGTCATGAATTTGATAAGGAAGAGTGGTAGGCAATATCCTGTCTTTAAACACAGTGACATTTGTAAATGTTCCTGTATAGCAGATCACATTTCATCTCAAACTGAGAGCCCTTGCTTTTTTTTTTTTTTTTTTTTTAATATAGACACTCTTTTATCACTTGCACTCTGTCACTTGCAGGTTTACATGTAGTTGGTTGCATCCCCTTTCTTATTTCAGTACAATTAATAATACAGATTACCTCTTTACATCAGCAATTTCCAAATATTTTCAATAGAGTCATCTATCCTAGAGACTGATCTGTTTTATCAGTCTTGCCTCCAGCTCCACTCCCTTTCCTGCCCATTGCTTCAAAGGCTGAATTTTGCTACAGCTTATTAATTAAGAAGCTTGCTGAAGCAGAGAAGCATTTTGAGTTCATTTAAGCTAAATATCATCTTGGCCCAGAGTGGTACTTCTGTCTGAAGAAAGCCATGAGCCATTTCCTAAGGGATCCTGTTGTTGCAGGTGGGACCTATCTAAAGTGGAAGCAGTAACAACTGCTCAAAAGGCCCTGTGGAAAAGCACATCAGTTAAAGAGAACCTGTTCAGATAATCTGCCTGGTTTCACATTTGCTAGAGCTTGGGAGTGTATGGGAACAGGGAACATCTGCTCTATTCCAATACCAATCCTCCTGGGCTGAGGCATCCAGCCCTTCACACTCTGTCAGGTGCTGGTCTTGCTAGCTCTAGGGACTGTGAGTGAAGACTCTCTTATATTGATACAAAGTTGCAAAAATAAGGCTTTTGGATATATTACAATAATATAATTAATGAACAACATCAGTAGAGGAGAGAGCAGATCTGTTGTAACAATGCTCTTGCTGCCCTCCCATGTGGCAGGAAAGCATTCTCATAGGCTGTGGCTGCAACTGGAGGTCTGTTGCTGAATAAAACAAACTGTGTGTTCCTGTGTTTATCCTGCTTTAGTATTCTCTCTTAAACATTTAAATAATTTACTGCATGCTTAACTTGAAGCACAAATTCAGTACCAATGAAGCTGCTAGCCCTCATACAGTTTTTTATTTGCTTCCTTAAGTCAGGATTTCCCTCAATGGGACTGTGATTAAGCCTTATTTTGTTCATGCCAGTAACCATTTCAAGATTTCTTTACATGTTTTGTTACTTGAACCTATTTCTGCAAGTTGATGAACAACGAGGAAGCCCATTTTTCTGTAGGCATTTGGGAAAAAGAAAAAAAAAAAACACCAAATATTGCTACATGCTCAAGGAAAGAAACTTTGAGTGAACAACTAAATGTACCAGTCAGGCAATAGAAATAATTTATCCCATAAAAGCAATCAAATGTTACCTGCCATAAGTTGTTTTGCATTAGTTTAATGTCAAATTGCCTACTACAGTTATCAATAAGAGTCAGAAGAAACTGATCTTTCTACAAAGAACTTGTAAACTAAAAAAGAAGTAAATTCAAGTTATGTATGAGAATTTTTGTGATTAAACATTTTAAGTGTGAAAGCAGAGGAGCTGGTAAAATCTGTTAACCCTCTTATTGGAAAGCTGAAACACTCTTGGAAGGTACCTTTCATGTAGAAATATGTACCATTTTTCTTTAGTAGGATGATGTCTCTGAGCAGAGGCTGCTCTGTACAAGTGTACAGCTCTGCATACAAGCAAACATCACCATCTCCTCTAATCCTGTCTTGGAGCCAGTGGAGGTTTTTTGACAACTTCCTTCTCTGCTCATCTATGTTTTATTGAAGGATCAGTTATTTCCTGTTTTGGCACCCAAAAGACAATAGTTTGAACAGATCACATGTATTACAAAAAGCCTGATATACACATAGATTAAAGCAGACAACTGCTTTTAAATCATGCAGTTTAGTAAGGCGACTTAATTAATAGGTGATTAAGAAAACCCATAAGTCCAAGTTAATCAGAGATGTAGCGCTTGAGGTTCATGCGTTCTTCCACCACATAAATTGACATCAATGGGAATTAAAATACAAAACATAAAGAGAAATAGTTAAAAATTATCTACAAATCAAAAACTTAGACTAAACATGTAATTTCCTCTTTTTTCCTAGCTCTCCAATGATTCTTCCAAGTAATATAGATCTACTCTTATGTATATGGATATTTATTAAATCTTCAAATGACTCTTTGTTCTTCAGAACTGGTGACCTCTGAATATGAGAAAATGTTCCTGAAAAGTGACATAAAAATGCATATAAGTAAATAATTTCCAAATAGCAAAGAGCAGCTGAATACTCAGTTTCCCACATCCATGTTTCCTCTGCCTTTAGCTGCTGCTAGTCCTATTTTATCAGCATTGCCCCCAAGCCTCTTGCTCTGGTGATAGCCATATCCCTCCATTTGCATGTTGCCTTTCAGTGTCAAGTCACTTTGATCTTTTCCCAGTATGAACCTTTTTCTTTAGTCTTCCTGTAAAACTCTTCTACCTGTAATTAGCAGAATCAAAGTGCTTAAGTCTACTCAGAATCCAACTACCCCACTGGCCAGAGGTTATCAACCTCTCTGCACAGTGGGTGAGATCTCTCACACTGTCTAGTAGCACATTTGCTATTTCCTTGAGGAACTTTGGGGTGTTGTCTATGCAACAATCTCTAAAAGGCAGCTGGTTGGTTTTCTTTCTTTTAGATATATTTGTCTTCTGAAAAAGTCACTTATTAACACAATACCTGCTTATTTACCAGACCTCAATTGTACAATAGCCTTTGCTCCACTACCCATCCTGACACCCTGCAGAGCTGGGACAGGATATTATGTCTCTCTTGGGCCAGGTGCAAAGGGTGGTTTGAGCTTAATCACCTGCACCTGTGAGGGAGGTGTGCTCAGCTGAGGCCACTGAGTGGTGAGGGGCAGTGGGACTGCTGGGCAAGGAGAAAAGAGACAGAAGGTTTATATCTGTAGTATTCAGATGTTTGTACGGAGGACGTGCTATGTGGTTTCTTGAGGAGGATCTTCTTGTACAGCTGCTCTTCAGGAAGATTGCTGTGAGTACAAAAGCTATATTTTCTTTATGGTTCTAAAGTCTTATTTTGGTTAGAGTTGTTATAACTGTAGTGTAACTACAGTGCTGTAATAGATTGGTAATGCATTTATGAAACCTGCTTTTTCATAGTGTTTGGGTGTTTTTAGGGAAAAGGGATGACTTAATAAAGATAGCTTGGCTAGGTATCTGAAAAACACTCCCTACTTGTCTCTACTTAAAGATGATTAAGAATTCTCTGAAGAGTATCTAGGGAAGTTGAAATGCTGCTGAATTGTTATTTTAGGTAGATTGAGACAGTTTGTCAGATTACTTGTATTCAACTGTTCTGATATTGAAGTCTTTTTCATGGATTGTGTGGAGTTTAAGAGTATCTTCAGACTGTGAATACAGTCAAAAGCCTGAAGGGACTAGACTTGTCCAGAAAACAGTGTTTGAATCTGTAAGTCTGGAACTGGGCTACTTCTCCCACTGCTTAGTGCACACTTGAAGAGAATTGTTTCCCAGGAGGACCAAGTATGGGTAACTGTGAAAGTGCCTCTAAGATGTGACAAAGTAGTTTTGTTTGGGGTTTTTTGCTTGGAGGACTTTTTTTTTTCTCCTTAGAAAAGTTCCTGATTCTTAATCTTCACCGGAAAGACTATCCATTAGTTCTGAAATGTAATACTACTAATACCTTAACATCAGTATTTCTGTGCCAAGTTCAACTATCTGTCTTGCTTTTTCAATTCAGTGATATGTTTAAGGAACTACAGGGAATGCAGATTGCTCCTCATTCCTGATTTATGATCCTGTTTGCAATGAAAACAACAAAACAAGCCCCAAACATATTGAAATTTTAACTATTTAAGAGGAGTAAAATTACAAACTTGGGTATGAAGCAATAAAGTTATCAACTGTTGCAAAAGCAATAATATAAAACAAGAAAATTTGCTTTATTTTTGGATTTCTGGAACAAGCCTACTATTTATACCTGCCCATGCAGATGTGAACTACACAAGGTCATGGGGCTGAGAAAATAGGCTTGTACCTCTGTGCATAAGAAATGCAAAATCTATTCCTCATCATTTGCTATGCTATTTCTATCTGTGATTATTACCAATTGATTTCTACCTTCACTGGTGAAATAAGGCAGTTGGACCACAGGTTACAAAAATTAAAACATCTTGCTTTGTTAAGAAACTGGGAGACTTGGATGAGAAGTTAGATAGTTCCTCTAAAAAAAAAATTAAGCTGTCACTGCTATAAGCTACCTGCAAAAGACTGATGTTAATCAGTTGTACAGAGAAACCAGATTAACTGATTAAAAGTCACAAAACAAAGAGGGTGTGAATACTTAGTAGTACTTAAAATCTCTTTGTATTAGAGTGAAGAGTAGTCAGAATTTATCATAAAACCTTTAACTTGATTCTTCAAAATACATCAGACTGTTATTCTTTAATCTTGACTAGAACAAAAACTCTTTGTATAGGAAAATCACAGCGTGATATAGATATGTAGAGCCAGATGTAAGCTCTGCAGAGGCTTAGTGGAAGTTTAGACAGTGATATTCAAAGCTGCAATCCCAAACAAAAAATAATTGAATGCTTTAACCCAGGGGGTTATCTGTTTTTGACAATACTACAGCCTTGTGTGTCTAAAGCTGGATTCTGTTTGCATCCAAAAGTGTATCAGTCTGGTAAGGATTGAGCAACTTGTTGCCTGTGTGATGTCTAAGACCACTTGGAAACCAGAAGTGAGTTCTGTGCTGCATGCCAACACAGTAAAGATCCAGTCAGAGCTCAGATTCTTCCCAGAGCAGAGTAGGATCCAGTCCTTGCTTTTAAATGGCAGGTAGTAGTTGTTTGGCTCATAGATTAGAAATTGACCCTGTTTGTGTTTGAGTTTTTCAGTCTGAGATGATTGATTCAAATTCAACTCCTATCTCAAAGTTCAGGATACTCCCTGTAGGTAATAGGGTAAGGACCTCTCAGTCCTTCCTGTCCCAGATTCTAGCTTTCAATACTCAAAAATGTTTAAGGTTTGTGGGCAAGAGTGGGGTGGTCCAGTGTGGTGTTGTCCCTGGGGTGCAAGAACCCCGAGTTCAAGTCCATTTTTTAGAGACACTCTAATGGGTGCTTGCTCACAGAGGCTCTTTATTATTCCATGAACATTCCCCCCAAATATCTTAATAACTGAGGCACTGCTCTAGGAAGTGGAGATAAGGGTCTCAATCCATCGAAGTGTAAAGGCAGTTCTGCCTTCTCACTGTGGGCTCATGCACTACGCTGTCAGTGATGGAAACAGCACTTCTACCTCTCCATCAAATTATAGCACCTACCTCTATCTGAAAGTGGATATTCTCTGGGCAAGGATATATCTGTTGGTAGCAGGATCAGAACTGAATCCTTGGAAGGGACTGAGATTTAGGAAAAGCTATACTGTGTCTCCCTTTTGGGAATGAGGATGGTAATTGATATGCATATGGAGGAGGGAAGGGGAGGGTACTGGGAACCTGGAGACTAGGAATTGCAGCATTTAGTGTCACAGGTAGTGGTGTTCTTCCTGAAGCTGTAGTGTGCCTGAAAGCCTGTATGCATCTAAATCTGAGGTCTGTTTCCATTGTGTGTTGGGTAAAGTTGCCATTATGGAAATGAAAAGTAGCTAGTGGCTGACTGCTAGATGGCAAGCACACACATCTTTGCCCTTCTGCCAAAAGGATGCCACTCTCCCCAACAGCACAGTGCAATGCATTCCTCTCAGAATGGGGACTTCAGAACTAGACTCTTCCTAGCACAACTGTGGTAAAAAGGCTGGTGTGGAAGAATATATTGGTATATTCAGTTGCTGAGCTGCCTTCTTTTTTGAATCCTCCTGTATTACACTTTCTGTTGCTTTTCCTGCCCTATCAAACTGAAACTTAAAAGCTGTTGTTAGTTCAAGTTGTTTAGAGGTAAAATTTTTACTGAGATCACATTGAACATAAACACAGCTCTACACTTGACTGGGAGGAGTATGGGGTTTTTGCACAGCACTGTCCTCTGTTGCTGTATTATTACCACATAGCACAATAGGCTTCAATCTCTTTTCTTTCCCACTAGACTCTAATTATCACCCATTAGATGCATATTAAAGGACTAGTGACCTTGGTTTCTCCCTGTGAACTGAGAACGTAGAGTAGCCATCTTCTGGCTTCTGGCAGCTTCTGACAGCTGCCTTCTCCCCAGCCCATGGGTTCTGGAGAGCACACAGTCCACATAGATATCCCAGAAGAGCTGAGCCAGGTCCCAGAACAAAGCCCCGTGTTTCAGGTTCTCTGAGGATTTCAGAAAGATCATGAAGTCCCAAAAGCCACTGACAGAGTCAGAAATGTGAGGCTTCCTCATCTCCAGTAAAACAGCCGAGGAGGATTCCCAGCACTGGGGATCTGCCCGCCCAAGGGCCAGTGGATCAATTTGACTATGGCAGAGGAAAGGTGTCACACAGAACACTGCCATGAGTAAGAGAGAGCAGGTGAGTCTCATGGTGCAGTGGATTCTTCCTCTGCTTCCAAGATCCATTATGTCACTGAAATATAAGAAAACCAAGAGAAGCTGAAAAAGTCTCACTCTTAGATGCAGGAATAAAATCCCGTTACTTTACATGATATGCAAGGCACTTAAATATTGTTTCTCTGTTCCTTAAAGATTTGTGTATGCTTTTTGCATGTATATAAATACTACAGGAGTAACAATGATCTGTGCAGTAGAAGCATATGTAAAAATTTTTAATCATCCTCAGATCTGAATTATGAACTTTCTTATCTGGAAATACTTAACATTGGCAGTTTTTTTGCCATTTTTGCTTTACAGATCCCGAATGTATTTCAGTAAAAATCCATTCCTTTTTACATAATTTAAGTTTTTTGGCAGTCTTGCTTTTCTCAAAATTATATGAGCCCTTTAAAATAGTCTTCAGAATCACAAGGATTAGGGGACAGCAGGTGGAAAAATTTTGTTGAAAATGTGTTTTAATGGTTCTAATTATTGCAGGTTTCAGATTAATCCACTGACCAGGAGTGGCTTAGATGCTAAAGGGCAAAAGAGTTCTGAAAAGAGGGTATAGCAAAGCCATCCCATAGCAGCTGTATTGTACAACATGTACCCATGCATACAGAATCTTAGAAAAGTTCAGGTGTAAGGGACCTTTAAAGGTCTCTAGTCCAACCTTCTGCCTTTGGCAGGGACTTCAACCACATCAGATTGCCCAGAGTCCTGTCCAACATGACTTTGAACTGTTTTCAGGGATAGGGCATCTTCGACTTCTCTGAACAACCTGTTCCAGTGTCTCACCCACTCTCATTGTAAAAGATTTTTTTTCTTTATATCTAATCTAAATTGATCCTCCTTCAGTTTGAAACCATCACTCTTTGTCCTCTTGAGACAGGCCCTGCTAAAAAGCCTGTCCTCATCTTTCTTATAGGCTCTCTGTAAGTACTGGAAGGCTGCAGCAAGGTCTCCTTGGAGCCTGCTCTTCTCCTGGTGGAACAGCCCCAACTTTCTCAATCTGTCTTTTCAGAACAGCTGCTTCACCTTCCTCATCATTTTTGTGGCCCTTCTCTGGACTTGCTCACTTTCCTGTGCTGAGATGTATTTATGTATATGTAAAAGTATAGATGTGTATTGCAAATCACTGGGAATTGACTGTTAAAACTGTGAAGTTTGCTAAGTAGTATCTGTAATGGATAGGTAGAAATTCTGAGAATGATTACCTTTTGTGGACAGAAAGGCCCTGTTTTCTCCATCAAATTTCATTTCTAGTACATAGTTCTCTGTTGTATTTTCTAGCATATTTCTAGCATTTCTGATATTGAACAAGTTTGAGGGGCTGTTTTTAGTGTAGGTCATGGCATATGGAGAACCCATTTGTGAAAATCAGCTACATCTGAGACCAGCATTTAGGACAAAATTCTATTGAATGTGTGTGCTGATCTGCTGAGTATTCATGCTTGTACATTTTCAGTTTGGTTGTTGGGGGTGGGAAGCTACTTCTCTTAATGAGCTAGATAAGCAACTGGCTTTTTGTGCAGAAGGTCTCTTCTGAGAGTGATCCTGAAGAAGTGTTCCTTTGCTACGTGAAGAAAAATGCCAAAGGCAGGACATTGATGTGCACAGGGACTGTACACAAAAAATAGCCCAGGCACAGCCTGTGTGTGAGACTAGAGAAGAATAGTCTGCTTTGTGAAATATATTTCATTGTAGAGCTAAAGGACTCTTCAGAGACTTCAGTCCTAGCAATGTTATTCTTACCTAGACCCCTGTCTGGCTACCTGGTCAGGTTCTGGGAATATTTTTGAGGTATTCAGACTTTACTCCCCAGCTGCCTACAGTCACTTTTTAATCTGAGTTTGGGTGTTGTGAGAAGAGCTGGCTTGGCAGCCCTGGACCTGAACATTGCATTTAAGCAACAAAAGAGGGACAGCTTGCTCTTCCCACACTGCTCTACCTAGTGGATGTCACTTATGACAGTGGTGGTAGTAATAGGGCTGTCCTCCTGCTGCTTCCAAGATCCCCAAGAAACATCATTCTTCTGTACCCTACTCCACAAGGCAGGCTTTGATTGCTTTCTCAGAAGCAAGCCAAAAACATGCTGTGAGTCACTACTTCATTCTTGTTTGTGCATCAGAGCCCTTCCACTGGGCATAGACACCTGTGTGCCATGCACTATGCACATATGTCTGTTTACTGAGACTTTTTCAAGGGACATAGTTAACTTTATCAAATTTCTGGTTTTCAAAGCAATTTAGCAGTCTCAAATATGATCATGAGGGTGATGAGACAGACACAGGACAGTGGGCGGGGCACCCCAACAACAACAGATTGTTCAAACAAAGGAATAATACTAAAAGAAGCTAAAAATACTAAAATCCTTTAAATGATGGTTCTGTGATTTTGACAGAACCCATCTCATTTGTACAGGTTAAAAACTGAACTGGTTTCTTTGCATTTTCTACTCCCCAGCACTTATTCAGAACTTTACAAGTTACAAAACTGGGTAAGACAAGGGTTCTGGATTTTTCAAAACAAGGGGACAGCCCTGGCAAGGAGTTGGTAGGGCATTAATATGAGAATCGGTGCCCTTGAATGTATGATGTGCATGGGATTAGTAAGGGCCAGTTGCAAAGGCCACTAGTCCCTATGGTTTGGTCATACGCAGGCAGCACTGTGCTGTTAGTCGTCCACAATGTTCAAGATTGTTTGATTTTTTTTTTTAGAGAGTTGAGAGCTGGAGGGGATGCCCGGGAAACGCCAGATTTCGTTAATCTCCTACCTGTGCATGTGGTGAATGCTTCCGTGCAATTCTTCCCCTACGCCCTTCAGTCTGTTGATCTTTCTGTCCTTACACTGAAGTTTGCGGGTGTGTGAATGCTATTTACACTTCCTGGTTCTGACTTTTCCCACTCTCCCCCCTATCCCTGCTTCTCCTTGCGGTGTAGTCTCCTGCTCCACTCTCCGGCATGGATAATGCCTTACAATAATAATTTAAAAGTTAATCGGTTAACTTATTATTATCGCCTAACTCGGAGCTCCCGTTCAGGCAGTCCCTCGGCCGTGCGGCTGCCGCAGCCGGTCCCGGGCCGGTGCGGCATCCCCGGGCAGTCCCGCGCGGCGCCCGGGGCTCCGGGCAGCGCCCGACGCCGCCGCTCCCGCCCGCCCGCCCCGCTCCCGCCCCGGCGCCGCCCGCAGCTCTCGGCGCTTACCTCGGCGCTCCGGCCAGGGCAGGGCTCTCCGAGCCGCTGCCGCCGCCGCGCTCCTTAAGAAGCCGGAGCGAGCAGCCCCGCTTAGTTTTTACGTCAGGGCTCGAGAGCAGCCCCCACCCCCTGGGCCTGGCCGCTGCTCCCGGGCACCCGGAGCTCCCGCTGCGGAGCTGTCCTCGCTGCAAGTCTGCTCCGCTTCTCCGTCCCGCCTGTCCTCCTCTGCCTGCGGACCCCGGCCCTCCCGGGCAGCCCGGTGGCCGCGCTGCCTCTGGCCGAGGGGAAGGGGTGCACAGAGCGGTGGAACAGTGACAGAACTGGAAAAGCTGCGGCCCTCTGCCCTTGGAGCTCATGTTGTCCAGAGCTTGCTCAAACCTCAGGAATCTTGCTTCACGTGCTTGGCTGTTGCAGATCCCTCCACCCCAGAGCAGCAATCTGTGTGGCACGACTAGAGCTATTCGCTGGCTACGGCTCAGCCCACGTGCTGCATCTCATGGAATTTGAAGCAGAGACCCAGAGAAGAGCCACCGAAGGGCTCTGCTTAAAGGCATTAGTTGAAGTAGTTGGGCTGAGCTGCCCACTGCAGCTCAATTTATACAACTAACTTGGAGGGCTGTACTTTCTCCAGTGGAGGAGGATGGTCTGGTTCCATTTTCCCTCCCAAGAATAAGAATGTGGTCTACTCTTGTTGCATTTTCTCTCTGTGAGGTTCTCAGCTGAATTATGACTTCTGTGTAGCAGCTGGAAAACCTCTATGTGTTGGAGAAATGAGTTAAGCTAGTAAGGAAGGAAAGCACTGATGAAAAGGCTGTCTCCTGTTATGTGCAGTATGGAGAGAAAAGCCTGAGCACAACTCTACAACTGAAAACTCTGCCTGTGCTCACTGTGCCTGCTGTGATCCCTTGCATACAGAAAACATACTACTCAAAGAGCTGGGGCTCTGTGACCATGCTAATAACCAGTGTTGGGCAGAACCTTAACACCAGCTATTTGAAGCAATAGGCAGGTGAGACCATTCTTTTTTTCCTCTCTCTGTAGTTTCTAGGCCAAACCATGTAGCACCTTGCTGCATGTCTGAAGCCAGTGCAGCTGCACCTGTCCATACCAGCTGGGCAGCAAATTATTTGCTTTTCCAAGGCTCTCCCTGGCAGCTCCCTTTTATCTCTGCATGTGGAATCATAATCCCTCCTCCAGAAAACAACTGTGTTTCAGTAGCATAAGACTTATCTTAGTTGAAGACAGTGGGGCTGCACTGGTTCACATCAGCTGGAAAGTTGGCTTGAGACTCTGATTTCTCTGATGTTCATCAATACCTTCATAGTTTGCATTCTTTCTGTGCATCCAGTCCATGTAAATGGAGAAGCAACTTCCTTTCCAAACCCTTGGTCTTGCTACATGCTTCTGACAATAAACACTGCTTTTCTTCTGATGCTTTATCTCCTCAATAAGCAATCCCTGTCAAATTGTATTTTGTTTAAATAATGCTACTGTTTAACAAAAGTGCAAGGGACTTTTTGTGGATGAGAGAACACTGGCTAGAAACCTTGTAAAAACTGTATGGTAGGGCTTTGGCCAACTTGCAAATGTTCAATTTTTTTGGCTAGAAGTTTGTGTTTGGGAATAGTGGTCACCAACTGCTGAAACAGACTTCAGGATGAAATAAAGGGTGTAATACCTTGCAAGGGACCCTTGCAATGTGGTGGAGGACCTCTCTTATGCAGGATCTCAAATACTTCTTCTCCGTGTTATCAGATATAGGCTATTCCAGTGGACTTTCTTCTCCTAGGTTCTAGGGCTGAAATGATCCTTAAGGATCAGTTTTTGCTT